AATTTTTTTGAAATTATACATATATATGTTAATCGTAAATCCCGTTTTGTTTGTATAACTTGTGTTTGTTTTTGAACTTTCTAAAAAGAGAAGTATTTTGGCCAAGCAGTTACATAATTTTGAATGATTATTACTTTTATAAGATAATATTTATTTCACTATGATCCTGTAAAAACAAAGCCACCTAACTGATTTAGGGGTGGGCTTTAGATAGGTAACCCCGGAGTACAGCATTAAGGAAAATATGGGAGGTAGAGGGGGGTCTAATAGTTCCCTGTATGAAGTTTCAAGCGCGCAACCTTATACCTTTTAAGGAATTTGTTATTAAAGTTTGTAAATTTAACCAACTTTTATGGCACTATTTTACAATATATAATGCACTTTCCACTAAATTTACAGGTTATTTACACTCAATATATGCGCAGTTAGAGTGTGCACGTTCAAACAAATAAATACTTTAGTATATTTCAGCTTTTTTTTATCAAAATTTGAATGTTGTTTAATTTTATGAGAGTACATGCAGAATCTTGCTTTCCACTCTTGGTTTTTTTAGATATGGCAACACAGTCCTGCTGCCATTTGCACATATTCTGCATGTACTCTCATAAAATTAAAAAACAATCAATTTTTGATAAAAAAAAAAGCTGTAATATACTTAAAGTATTTATATATTTGAACGTGCACACTCTTAAGTTCTGAACACATTGAAAACGACGAGCTACCGACCACAGCTTCCAATTTGTCATCTTTATTATCTAAGCGCTTTGTCGATGGCGACATGATTTCTTTGAACGCGGCAGCGACATCATGAATTTGTATGAGTTTGACATAAAAGAAGAGGAAGAACCTTATCTGTCGCCAGAAAAATAGAAATAGATCTAATCTGGCCACTCCCACAGCCGTAGCGTAGCCCGGTCGTCGCCAAAATAATTATCTACATAAGAATACGTGTTAAAATAATTTGACAGCTGTGGTTTGTAGCTCGTCGTTTTCATTGTGTTCGGGCTATTACTGTGCATATATTGAGTGTAAATAACGTGTAAATTTAGTGGAAAGTGCATTATATATTGTGAAATAGTCCCATACAAGTTAGTGAAAATTACAAACTTTAATAACAAATTACTTAAAAACTATAAGGTTCCGCGCATTAAAACTTTACATATACCCCCTTTAGAACCCCCTCTACCCCCGCCCCCCCCCTATTTTCCTTAATACCGTACTCGGGGGTTACCATTCTAAAATTTTCCCTGATTTAGAGCTATCGATAGTGCTATCGATAGTTTTGTTTTTTTCGAGACTATCGTGAATATTGATAGTTTTTCTGAAAACTATCAAAACTATCTGTGGAGCAAAAAATTAGAGCGTTTCAGAACAATACCCTGAGAAGGTGTTTGGGTTTAACACCCTCCACCCCGACTCACAATATATATGTACTAGCGAATGAGTTTGAACCTAGAGAAAGGGAAACATTTCTAACTTGTCGTGAATTGATACAAGTTAAATTTGGTGATCCGGAAGTTTTTGATTGTATTAAAGGTAATAAAAAGAAGTGAGCATCTGAGAGTTAAGGGACGGGTGCTTGAGGGTAATAAAGCGAACTTCTCTATAGAGCAGTATCAAGTCGAGTATAGAAGGCTTGTACATAGGTACAAGGGAAGAGATTTTACAATTTTTGCCACTGATGCGTCGGGTGGGGAAGACTCCATGGGTTGCGGAGTTTATAATGTGACACATAAGCAGAAATTTCTTTTCAGAATCAATTTTAAGACCTCATCTGTTTTTAGTGAGTTGTGGGCCATTGTCAAAGCAGTTGACATAGCGGTTGAGGACAACCTTAAAAAAATTGTAATTTTTACTGATAGTTTGACTTCGTGTAGGTTGTTGGAAAAATGTGAATCCGACAACTACATTATTGCAAGAATACATTCCACTATTAATAACAGTGGCTTAAAGTGTGAAATAGTATGGACCCCAGGGCATGTTGGGTTTGAAATGAATGAGGTGGCGGATGACTTGGCCAAATGGGCGGTGACAGTGGGTGCACCCTTGAATGTTTTACTCACTCCGGAAGAGGCGTTGAGACAAATAAGTGGAATTTTGAAAGAAGAATGGAACAGTAGGTACAAAATGATGTCGGAATATAAAGGTAGAACATTTTTCAAATTTTTTCCGAACATACCACACAAACCTTGGTATTACAAGGTGTCACTTGATGTGAAAGATGTTAAATAAATTAATCGTCTTCTTACAGGACATACATATGATAAAGAGCATCTGCATAAAATCAAAATTTTAAGGTCTAATTTATGTGAGGAATGTCAAAAGGTAGATAATTATTCGCACGCGATCTTTTCTTGTACGAAATATGCCAGCACAAGATCAAAGTTTGATGCAGTTAGGAAATGTAAGGATTTTGAGGAAATTTTTGTTAAGAAAGATGAAGCAATGCTCAAGGAATTGTGCAATTTTGTGAAAGAGGCACAAATTGATATCTAGTTGTAATATGAAGAACAAAATAGATAGTACAAATTAACTTTATACGTCTTATTAAATATCTTGACTATATAAACTACTTTGAATACTGTAGTTATGTAATAAACTTTTTATATTTTTAGTCAAATCGCTTAACAGGGAAGGCCAAGCTCGTGATTGCACATTTGGAAGTAGGCATTTTTCTGCCTTTTTGGTTTGTTTGGAGATATTTGATAATTGGCGTGTATCTAAGCCGAAGCCCTGAAAGTTGACAACAAGAGTGTGGAGAAACGCTTTAAGTTCATCGATCACCCTGGCCTGTGGGAGTGTCCGGCCATTTAATACTCTCAACAATCAAAAAAAAAACAAAAGGCCATTTCAGGAAAAACACCAGGCAGAGATCGTATTTCGTACCCAATGCTTAAAAATTTACCACAGAAAGTTAAAACCAGACTGCTAGATTTGTACAACAACATTTTAGACCAGGGTTCATACCACACACATGGAAAAGTGCAGTGGTACTTCCGATTCCTAAGCCGAATCAATCTACCTCTAACAGTTCCTGTTACCGAGCTATATCCCTTCTTCCGTGCCTGAGTAAAGTTCTTGAGAAAATGATTGCAAAACGTATCATGTGGTTTACGTTGACAAACGGCTATATGGACCCACACCAAGTCGCTTTTAAGGAAGGACACGGTACGATTGGCGCACTTTTAATATTTGAACATTTTGTAACGACAGCCTTTGCAACAAAAAACCATGCTTCTATCCTAAGTCTTGACTTTGAAAAGGCCTACGATAGAATCGGTGCGCACATTGTCCTTCGACAACTTGCCAAGTGGAAGATTGGAAAAAAATCTATGATTTCGTCAAGGCTTTTTTACACAACCGGCCTTTTTGCGTAAAAATAAACAATAAATTTTCAAAAACTTACAGACTATTTAATGGCATTCCGCAAGGCTCTCCCTTGTCAGTGGTACTCTTCACTGTGGCCTTTGACGAAATCAATAATTTACTTTTAAACTACAAGAGAATATCTAGTATTATGTATGCAGACGATTTAGTATTAGTTGCGATCCCGTACGAGTCCGGACTAGTCAGAAATAGTCAGATTTTACTGGAAATCGATCCCGTACTCGGTTCTCTGACTATTGAGAGGACAAAAAAGAGAGTAAATACAGTTCTCTCTCTGTCAGAAGTTACCAGTTTTAGTCCGAGAATTTTTTGCTGGTAAATTCTGGTAAATGTGTCAAACGATCAGCTGTAGTGTGTTTGGCAACCAAATTGTAAACAAAAGAAAAGTGCACTCTGCTAATTCATGTCGAAAAGTATTTAATTACTTGTTCAAGTGGATTCTAATGAATTTGAAAGTATTTTTGGTTATTCACATGTGTGAGCTGAGTGTGTTTACATACAAACTAAGCAAAAATTTACAACCAAAATTTGGAGGTTATGTTGAAGTTGACAGAAGTTACCATTTTTTACTAGAAAGCGATCCCGTACTTTTCAATGTTACTCTCTCGCTCTGAGCGAATTTTTATTTTTTGACAGTTTTACTAGTCCGAGTCCGAGGAATACGGGATTGCACCTATTATTTACCAAATGTAAGGATTTATCGGTGGTACAAGGCGATTTTTCTCAAATATTCAGCCTCATTGCGAGAGTCGTGCCGAATGCAAGTCGTTTTTCGAGAGTCGAATCGTATCGAAAATTTAGCGCCATTGCCTAAAATTTCCACTCGACTAGTGTATTAAAACGGAAAAACTTGGCAGCACTGCATAGTTTTCGACAATTTTCGTCGTTTACTTATTTCAGCACGACAGTAGACAATGCTAATGTTGTCGAGTCGTACAATTCAGCCTAATTTACGACTTACGCAATGAGGCTGATTAACTGAAATAACAAATTGGTCCAAAATATCGGGAGCTAAACTATCATACAACAAATGCAAAACTTTTCATATATGCAACAAACGGCTTTGTCCACCAATAAGTCTTATGGGTCGATTATCGATATCAACCGAACTTCAGTTGAGTTGGCAGTTGCCAAAACGATATTATAGATGGCATCTGGCAACTCTCAACCGTCAACTGAAGTTGTCACAAAGTGTGTATACTTGCAACTGCACTTTTGTGGTTGCTGTGGAGGTTAGAAGAGCGTTTTTACAAGCGAATATTTAAAAGTGAGTAAAATATTTTAATTTTTAGCAGTTTTAACGTTACTAAAGTTCTGCAATGTATTTTGCTTTTGCAGAAAAGATGGTGAAAATAACTACAAAACAACAGTTTGAGATTTTGGTGCAACAAATGGAGCAAAATCCTTCGATTGCTCGTGGTGTACGCGCTTTTGGCGAGACAAAAGCAAATACTGAACATGTTTGGAAGGAAATTTCTTCTAAATTAAATAGTTACGGACCGCCAACTCGTACATCCGAAGAATGGCAGAGGGTATGGATACATTTTAAAGCCAAGTTAAAAAAGAAAATGGCACATAATAGGAGGAATATATCCATCACCGGCGGCGGACCATCTGAAGAAATAAGTTTGTCCGCGCTGGAGCAGGCCGCAGCGGACTTTCTGCAAATGGGCACTTCGGTCGATCCGCCAGGTCGCACATTCGGAGCGATTTTACCCCAACAGCCTCAGGGCACTGAAAATATTGCCTACATTGAGGAAATTAATACAATTTTAGAGGTAGAGACTGAGCAACCACAGCAAGAAACGGTGACGCCTCTTGTAGCAGTACAACTACCCAGGAGAAAGAGGGCGCAAGATATCAGATTAGACCTCCTCCAGCAACAAACAGGAACCCAGGGTGAGGTTGTTAATAAGTTGGACAAAATTGAAAGAAAGCTGTCCAGAAGAAATGATCTCTTAAAAGATATACGGGATTTGAAGAGGGAAAAATTAAAAATATTTAAGGAAGCGCATGAATTGAAAAAAAAGAACATCAGATGCTTGTTGAAGAGCAGCATTTGAACAAGAAAATTAAACAAAAAAAAACTGGAGCTCTTAGAAAAACAGATCTCCAATTTAAGTTGAGGCTTTTTACCTTTATTTAAACCAATATTTTTTACTATTAAGATCAGTTGAATGAACTGCTATTTTTTTTTAGTTTTAAGAAAAGTGAATTTTGTATTTTTTGTTGTGATATAGTATTTTTTATTAAATCCAAAGAGAATTAGGTACATATATTTTGTATACTTTATCGACGGCTGAGTGGGAGATCGACCTATCTCGGCAGTCGGTTAGAAAACGCCGTATCTCAGAAAAGTTTTCAATAAAGCCCTATCTCAGAATTTGATTGAAAAATGCCATATCTCATATGCAAATATATTGGGATAGGCCGTTTTTGATTCGAATTCTGAAATAGGGCGTTCTTCAATCAAATTCTGAAATAGAGTGATATTAGGAAGTTTTCTGAGATATGGCGTTTTCGAACTGGCTGCCGAGATAGGACGACCTTTTATTCAGCCTTCGATGTGATATATTAGTTTTAAGGAAAACTGAATGAAAAGTTGAAATAAAAAAGGTTGATTTCATACCTAAAAATGAATAAACATGAAGAACGCTAAAAAGATATAAATGTGTTATTTACTTTTAATAAAATTGAATTTAAAATGAAATACTTTATTCAACTAAAAGATTATTTTATTCATTTAAACATTGCATTACATTATATCTTATATCAGAGGCTACGGTGTTATCATTCTCGGTTACATTTGGACTTGCAACTTCCTGCGAGATTGTCGGATCTTCCTCCCAGTCTACTTTATAGTGTAAACCAATATTATACAACGCGCAACATGCATTTATTATTGACCCCCATTTGTCCGCTCTATCACATTTCGGGCTTTAGAATGGATTGTATTGTTTTTTGCTTCAGGAGATTGAGGTTCCGCTGAACGAAAAGGGGTCAAAAGATGTGGTTCTAATGGAAATCCAGAATCACCTGGGTATTTTAAGGTTAAATCAAAAGGTTTCATAACTATTAACGAAATACAACCTAGAAGCCAGGTGTTCGGACCAAAATCAT